TATATATATATATATATTTTCACTAAGAAGCTATTTTTTTGTTATCTTTCACAAAATCTCCTTATGGTATATTAACCGTTGTGTATCTGTGTGTAAACATATTTTGTACAAAGACTTTTGGCCACAGCAATCTTGTAAATAATAAAATTCTCTGGATTTTTCATGCCAAGATCTCTTCAACTAAGTAACTAAGCCATTTTGCATATACATATTCTGGCATATAATGGGAGCTCTACCATTTGGATGAACTTACAGGCTGATGAAGCCTCCAACATATACTCACCTGTCATCCTAAGGAGAGCAGCGACCTGTATCTGATATAAAAGGGCTTGTAGAACTGTTTGACATGATGATGACTGGGGACACTAAAAGGGTTATTCACTAAAGAGCCAACAGATCCACCTGTCGCTGCGGCTGATCCTTTGGCTCTCTTCGGCCGCCTCTGCCCTTTGTTTCAATCGAACCGAAGGGCTGCTGTATGGGCTATTCACTATAGCCCATAGAGCAGTCGAAGGCAGCCGAGCCGAAGGCATGCGCTTCGGCTCGACTGAGCTGAAGTGACAGCCGAAGCGTGGAGAAAGGTCGGCCTAAGTCGCCCGATCTCCACACAAATGACAGGTGGGCGGAGCCAGCCATGATCTCACTGCTTGCTCCGCCGAGTTGGAATGACAGATCAGCGTCCCCAAATGACCTGGGGATGCCGATCTGTCATTAAGCAACAACTGCGCGGAGCCGGCCGATTTGTCACGGCTGGCTCCACCCAGTTGTTATTCATTGCCAGGGATTGCCGCCCAATAGGAAACAGTTGGGTGGAGTTGTCATCCGCTAGCTCCGCCCAATTGTGTTTTTTTTTTAATTTTCCTATTGGATATCATTTTTAAAATCATTCAACTTTTTTTCATTCTTTTCACTTATTTTCTATTCTGCTCGGTACCTCGGAGGTACCGAGCCGAATAGCCAAGCCGAATGCCACACGGCGGTAAACGGCTATTCACTCACTGCCGTTCATAGGTTACAAACAGCAAATTGGCATGTGTGAAAGAGGAACATTTTCTAAGTTGGCTTGAAGTCAAAATATTGTTTATAATTAAGGATCCTGAGACACACGTGCAAAAAAGGACACTCTAAAAAGGACTATGCCGGGGTGGAAGAGGGAGGGACAGCATTTGTAGCTAAAGTGACACTAAATTCAGGAGTTAAATGTTAATGCATTTAAGTACCTTAACTAGAAGCAGAAATGTATCTCATTTGTGTATCACATCAGCTTTAGATCCTCAAATCATCTCTGAATTGGTGCTGACACTGTCCTAACTTTTGGAGGGTGGCTACTTTTATTACTCATGGTCCCTGTGTGTGTTGTAAAGTAGTCACCGCTCCAAGATCACTCCTGTGATGGAATACAATCTCAATACAAAACTAGTAAACTAAATTTGAAACTCCTGTTCATAGGAGTTACTTAATTTCAGTACGGAATTCCGAGCTGCGCATGCTTGGCTCAGTTCAAATTTTTTTTTTAAAAGAAGAAAGTGCTGACAGGACATACAGATAGGATACATGAAAGAAAAGACTTCAACAATCTCTTCTGTCATGTTAAGCATGTCAGTCAGCAGTTTTAATTAGCTCAGTTTCAATATTAATCTATTTTTATTTCGTTATTTTTCAATAAATATCAGGGAAAATCACCAGAGTAAAGGATATGATGTCACATTACTTGTGATACCAGATTGGTGTATGGCAAACAGTTCAAGTTTAGTTTTAAATTAGTAAAAACTTCACAGAATGTATAACACAATGTATTGCATTTATTGGTTCTACAACAATCTCCAGGGAACTGAAAAGCTTCTACATTCCAATTGATGAGAATATGTCGTCTATGTCATCTGTCTCTGGAAGATTTCTTTGTGCCTTTTTTATACTAGCACTGGACACAAATGGTTCAGAAGTCGGAGATCTTAAAGCAGTATCCTTGGCAACTGGTGACACCTCTTGATCACTAGAAAACAATTCTAAGCACAAACGTTTTAAATCTGTCCTTTTAACTTGAGATTCAGAATGAGCAAAGTGACATTTGTGAAGTTTGTGCTTTCTCGAATAAGTGACCTTCCACTTCCAGGACTGGTGACATCTTTGTATTCTCAAATAGGTCTTCAGATGATCTGCCTTCAGGGTTCGCTCACGCAGACAATGACACATGGATTTTTTCCAGCTTTTCAGCTTCTTCTTTAAACTTAAAAGAGAAGGGAAGATGTGTTTAATAATAATGCTTGACGCCACTAAATAACAAATACACAAATAAATAAACTGGGTTGTGTAAATAAAACTTCTGTTTCTTTATTGAAACATGGCTTATAAACCAAAGCAATAACTAACCCAAGGCTCCATTTACACCTAGGTGATAGCTTGTTTTCTCTTTACGCGTAGACAAGCGCGATTTTTGAGCTTTTTATGCTTGTGCATCAAGTCGCGCATTTTTGGCATCAGATTGTGATACATTAATGTAAATGGGTAAGCACGTGTAAAATGCGTTCAAAAATAATTGCATTGCGCATTTCCTATTGAGTCTATGGGGATAAAACACGCCGTAATCTTCCAAAAAAGAAGCTGGTACTTTTTCCAGTGACAGGTGTTTTGCTTACTGCAACACAGATGTGAGCAAGGGCTTCAGGAATAAATGGGATTTTTTTTGTGAAGTGTTTTGTCATGCTTATTCAGCTGCGACAATACGCTAAGTGTGAACCAAGCCTGAAGGTGGCCATACACTGCACAACCCTCGCAATACTTTTGTCTTGCGAGGGTTGTAAAGTAATTAAAAAATGTCTGCAGCAGATATACACACTAAGAAACTCAAAACACAGTTCTCACCACATGAACGCTCAGAGGTGTAAGTAACTGTTGGTGGTTTGATCCAGCATGTAAAAATGCTAAAATCAGTTTTACAGCACTCTGCTTAGGTCTCTTTACAACACAACATTGTGATCTGATATAAACTCAATGATACTACAGCAGTTAAATAAAGGGGTGCACCTGCCATGAGGCAAGGTGACAACCTCCCCAGATTTCTTTCAGGTGCCCTGGGTGCTAAAAGTCTCTTCACAACATGCTTTGTGCCTTAAAGCTGCCGGTGCCGACTCCAGAAGGAGTTTAGGAGAAACACTGGAAGTGGCGTGTGCGTGATGAGATGTGGGACAGCTGAGGGGAACAGTAGAAGCAAGGTTCAGACATTGCAAAGGTTAGGGTTAGAAGAGGGGTGCAGGCACTGAATGAGGTTTAAAAGGTGAGTGTTGGGAGAGGGGAGCAGGTACTGCAAGGCAGGCAAAGCTGAGGGGTGGAAGAGGAGTGCAGAGATGAGGTATGCCTATATTCTGTATGCAGAAAAGCATGTGTAATGGAAGGGTTTGTTAGCAATGCCTCAAGGATTTGCAGCAGTGACATGAAATAAAATGTCACTGCTGATACACATGTTGTAATGGTCTGTATCAATATATTTACTCTATACTATGTATGTGATCTTCATTGCTAGCAAAAGCACTTTTTACATTATTTCGTGTGGTTCAGGGGGGCACCATTTCCATGCCTGCATCAGGCAGCAAAGGTAGGTTTACCCTTGACACATTCAAACTGAAGGTTACTAGTTCTGCTAAAAAAGAAATCTATTATTTCTGAAGTAAAGAGAATTATCTGCATGTAGTAGCCATACACACCTGTACCCCAGAGTCTCAGCCTGCTGCAGTCTGTTGCTGTGAAGGTATTTGTATTTGAAAAACATTGCTTCTCTTCTCAGCTTTCTTTTCCTGCACCATCTCACTGCATAAAGGAGCTGCTCCGACAGAGATCTGAAACTTGAAGCTTTCTGAATTTTGGGCAACAGATGCATAATGCACTTCCTTTCATTTGGAGACAGCAGAGTTTGTTTTCTCTTAGGGTTGCTAATTGTTGCTTTTGGATTTAAGAGCTGTTGTACAAAATGTAAAATAAACAGTATTAAAAATAGGTCCAAAACAGGAAAGGCTCCCGACATTTAAGCTACATCTCAACACTGAAAATCAAAACTACCCTATTAGACCATTAAGAGAACTATGGTGTAAGTGTTTTTCCCCATAGTTCTCTTAAGGGTCACGGGAGGACATATACTAGCATCCTCCCGTGACCCAAAGCTCAGTATATCGCGAGCTACAACTTGTGAGTGACAGCTGGCTCTGCCTATCTAGAGTCAGAGACAGCTGTACCCCGCCCCCTCCCCCGTCCGTTCCTTCAATCAGCGCTGGAGCATCGGAGCGGGGAGAGGGGGTATCCCTGTGGGGAGCGGTGATTGACAGTCACCGCTCTCTGCAGGGAGATGATCGAGAAGTGAACGAGCAACGGTATGCGTTCGGTCACTTCCCGATCTGTTGAGCCAACGCGTGACAGTTTCATTGTCACACGCCGGCTTGAACTATGAGGATGAGTGAGTTTCAATCACCTCATAGTTCTCCTTTAAGTATTATACCACATTACCACACATGAAGACTTCATTTTTTAAAGAATTACATTACCCAAGCACTGTCACAGACTGTTCATAATAGGTTCCTATATTACCAGCCATAGAAGTCATCACTGTTAGTAAGGGAAGGACAGCCCACTAGAAGTGATGTTGCTTACACCGGCACCAATTACTAGTTTTATTGATACCAAGGCAATATGCAGAGCAACACACACAGGTGCAACATCAGGATTCCTGGTGATCCAGTTTCTGAAGATTTAAAATGATGACTCAGAGATTCACTTAATTGGTCAAATCTGCTGGCATGAAGAACTTTCTTCCAATAAGATAGCAGTACAGGAAAGCCAACAGCACTGCCATAAATGTAAGTCTACAGCCCATATTATTTCAGTTGGGTATGTCGAGTTAGGTCATCGATTGGCTTTCTCTATCTCTTGGAGAGTAAAGCTGAAAGACCACACGAGCCATAGTTCATGCCTATCTTAGAGTCTCACAACTCTTGTCACACTATAGTAACTCCTCTCGTTACACTGTCCATGATCAACACTAAATAATAAATCTTAAATGAAAAGTGTGATTCCCACACAGCAGATGTGTCAAACTATAAAACACAAGCACAGAGCTCTCACCACTGCAAACCCTGAGATACACAAGACATGTTATGGTTATTATTTTCAGCCATTACCAAAAATTTTATTGTATAAAATATACTTGGAATTGCTTGGCCTCAACTAATATAGGTAGTGCTTTTTGAGTCAACAAACGGATCTGTATGTGACAAAGGACACAAAGGGTGGAATGCAGTCCCCACTCACATAAAACCTTGCTCTAACTTACATGGGAATGGTTACCCTCTGACGCAAGTAATGCTTTCACATCAAAGTCATCCAGCTTGTCTGCATGTAAAAAAAGAACAAGGTAATTTAAAATTGTCTCACACATCACATGCAAATAGAAGAAGCAGGTAATAAACATTCAACTTATTACGTCTTATCTTTCCTATACTTTCTACTGGTCATAGAACCAATTGTAAAATGGCTTTAACATTCAAGTTGTAACCCCACCAAATACAAAGCAATCAATTTTGGTAAAATATTATGGAATGTTGCTGCTCAAACTCACCCTATCCCAATACTATCTATCAGCTGTTTCCTCCACTGAACCTTTAAAAGGACAGACAATATGGGAGCTGTCACTATATATTTGTAATGATGCAAGCTCATTGGCTGCCATGCCAATTCTGGATCTAAAAAAAAAACAAAAAAGGCGCATGTAGCCACTGAAATCTAAAAATCCTTTCCTGCCTGCTTGTTCCAGAATCAAAATCCAAAACAGAGCCTTTATAAATCAACCCAGCAGTAGCATCTTTTTCATTTCTATCCTCACAGCTTAATTAACCCATAATTATCCCAAAACAGTCTTCAGCCATATAAGAAGCTGTTGGGTATGATTTGACCATCAGCATCCATTCACAGTTAAAAGGTTCATTTGTGGTGAGTTTACAGCAATCCTACCCTAACTATCCTGCTCCTCTATAGAAATACAAACTAAAGGAGGTGTTCATGTATCATCCCTGGGGAAGCTGCTCCAGGCTCTTGTCTGTGCCAGGGCCTGTATTACAGGATCTCTTTTAAATGTGTGAAAATAACATTAAGGCAATCGGCACCTCTTAAAAGGGTAGGACAGTCAGGATGGTGTGCGTTTGTGTGGGGTGACCGTCGCGGTATATGCCCACCTCATACATAATATAGTTCTCAATTTAAAAAAAAAACAAACACACACACATGAAAGCTAGGTATGCCCAGCTAGACAACATTGATTAACCCCTTCGTGACTGACGACGTACAGTGTACGTCGCCAGCATCGGGGCTGTTTAAACAGACTCCCGGTGACTTTTGCCGCCGGGACTCTGTTTAAACTTGTAGAGCCGACTGTCGGCTTTACAACAGAAGCGATCCTGGCGACTTACCTGTCGCCAGATCGCTTCTATCACATAATCACAATAGATTTGTTTTGTTTTCGGTTTAACAAGCAGGTAAGTGAGGATACAGGTTAATTAGTTGCATACTTCAAATTGTCATATTGTTACCTCTGTTTAATCTGTGAACTCGTTGGCCCAAATCAATAACTCTTCTTCCTGATTCTTTTGGCCCCCTAATGTTTGGCGTTTGTAACTCTTGAGTGGCCACATTGTTAGTTTTGAATATTGTATTCAGCAATTGTACAGAGCTCTTTTTGGGGAACATTTTAGGTAGTTTTCTATTAACTAAATCACCGAACATAGGGCCAAGGTAATCTTCAATCCTGAGAGGGAACTCAAAGTCCTTAAAGTAAGGCATTTTCTGAAATGCTGACACCTCTAGTTGTACCAATATTTGCGCACTGTATAAGGAGATAAGTCTTTTCACAACTCCTCGGTACATAACCCTAAAAAAAAAATAAAAACACATGTCAAAAAAAAAAAATGTTTTGTGACATAAATTTAAATATAGTAGAACTTTTTGTGCTGATCTTTTTTTGCTGCTTCAGGGTAAGCAAATATCCTGATAGCAAATACAAGACGCATGTTTATTTTTACTTGAATCTTAGTGTGCTTTGTGTATTTCTTCCAGATCTGTGCAGTAATCTAGTGTGAAATTCTGCTTCGGTGCAGGAGTTGGGTGACTGGTCTTGTATCTGCCCCTCTCCTTTAGTTCCTGTAATAAAGACTGGTCCACTGGTGCTCTCTCTGCTTGTGCTGGGTGACAGGTCTTTTATGTGCCCGGCTAGTCTAATTCCTGTAATAAAGACCAGTCACTGCTGCTCTGCTTGTGCTGTGTGACCAATCAACCAGAACCAATCAACCAGATTGGTTCTGATGAAGGGGGCGTGCCCCAGAAACACGTAAACCGTTTACCAACACAGGGATCGAGGTTACTGGTGTTTTACATTGCTCCAGATTCTCCCTGCCAGGGGTTCCGTCCTCTCACCTTATTCTACTGGTTTTTATTCTACCAAACTGTTGTAAGTACAGCCTTAGAGCTGCGTGTTTTTACTATTAAATAACATTTTTACACTATGGAGGTGCGCTCTTCTGTTCCTTTTCAGTGACACTTTTGTGCAATCCCGAGTGTAGCTCGGGGGTTACTGCTATTGGTACTGAAAATTAACCCCGAGCCACACTCGGGAATACCGCCAGGAAGGTTAAAAGAAGGAACCAGTACATGACTATTTGTAGACAACAGGCCTGCAACTAACGATTATTTTTATAATTGATTCATTGGCCAATAATTTTTTCTATCAGATAAAAAAAAAATAGTTTACATTTATTTTTAACTTTACTGTTAGGGGGTTTGGGGAAATATCAGGCGTCTAAACAGACCCCTCATATTTTATTTTTTTATTTCAAAAGGAAAAGAGATTGAGGACACAGAGTCCTAACTCTTTGCCGGCAGCCCCAGCACTCAATGTACAGAAAGCACTCGGTACAAAAGCTTCCTGTTCAATTTATAGAAGTGATGTAGAGCACTTCTTGTTCATTCATAATTAGGGACACAGTACCTGAATACTGTGTCCTTAATTATTTACAAAAATCGTAGTGATCAGTAATGATCACGGTGGTGTCAATGATTGTCAGCGTGTCAGTGCCAGTACAGTGTGTGTAAGATGGCAGTTGTCAGTGCTGGTACTCCGGCTACTTACAGCACAGAAATGGTAGGCAAGGCCACTAGTTCTTTCCTAATTGGCCCAGTCTAGTGTCATGTCCAGTGCAGATCAATTAATGCATAATAAGAATACTTGACAATGATTCTCATTATCGATTTGATTAGTTGATTCAGCCCTAGCAGACAAGTTGTAAAAGTAAATTAACCTTTTTGTTAATGGATAATAAAAAGATTTAGTTTCTTTACTAACCATAGGCGGCTCAGCAATCCCAGCAGTACGACATTTAGAACTATAAACTCTTCTAAGTTCAAGTGCTGTAGACATAAGCTGTTTTTACGAAGATAAAGGAACAATACTGAAACCGATTATTCAACTTCTATCAAAATGCTCAAGATTAAAGACTGGTATAGAATCGTGACCTCAGTCTAGAAGACCTGTATACTGCATATATTCCATTCCTTTAGCAGAAAATAAGCCAGTCTAACATTTCTATTACTGAAACAGAGTTTAAAGAAGAACTCCAGTTAATGTGACAGGACAGTCATTTTTTTTGTTTCACATGGCACCAGTTATGGGCAGTACACCCCAAGAATGACAGAGACAGCAAAAAAAATCCTGTCTCTAACATTTCTACAATCAGAAAACAAGTGTTTCACGGCTGTCCCCATTGGGAACATTTTCTCTCACTTCCTGTCCCAGAGAACCCCAGCAGCCTTAACAGTATGAGTAAGAGAAATCACTGGAGCTCCTTTTTAACTCAGTGAAAATGCAAATAAATTTGAGCAATTACTGCATTTGGTTTTGGGCAATAGATGCACCAAAGTATAGATCTGAAATATATATATATTACATAAAATTTGTGAATATCTGAACCGAGCTGCCCCCATCATTCACTAAGCTTCCACACTAGCAGTAAGATTATTATTATACAGAATTTATATAGCGCCAACAACTTGCTCAGCGCTTTACAAAAGAATGGAGACAGCACAGTAACAATAAAATGTACAATACAATACAGTTTCAGAGCAATAGGGTTGGGAGGGCCCTGCTCGGGAGAGCTTACAAATCAGTAAGATAGGCTGATTGTCTGCTAAAGACAGAACTGTTCCTGTAGTATGTGCACTGATGAGACCCAGAATACCTATACTGCTGTTAATTCCTCTATGATTGCATTGCTGGCTTTGACCAGCATCTGTATGTATGCATTATTTTCAGATGTCTCACATATTAGGAAAGAGGAAGAAAAACAAAGCAAAAGGATACTGGAAGGCCTTGCAGCAGCAATCCATGAGACGCAGTAGTAGTTTGCAAGCACCCAAAATCTTCATAGATGCTAGTTCCATTATAGGCTGGCTAGGAACAGGGACTTCACTTGCAATTTGCAGCTCAGTTTTCCTAAACAAAAATGTGTTTTACCATTATTACAGATAATTCTGGCAGTTACATACAAAAAACATGACCCCAAAGAAATATTTTTCTTCAGCTTTCAATGGTGACTGGTGTTAAAAAGCCGAATCCCCTTAAACTAATTGGTTTTCCCCTAAAAAAAGGGAAAGAGACTGGTTCTCCTGAAAGTACCACTCCCTATGAACTTGTACATACTTTCGATATTGGGCTCTTACTGCTCTATAGCAGCCCATGGGAAATACCTGGTACTTCTGGGTACCGGGGAGAATATGACCTCCCTTCCCAGATGCAAGGCTCAGGTTTGAACAGCAAATCACCAGGCCTGAACACTGTCACTTGAGGAAGGGAAGGATGTCATTAGCCCTATGTAAGCTCCGACAAGGAGCTTACACGAGGTTTAGACTTCTGGCTACAATGTAGGAGCATGTGGAAGGCAGGATCAGTGGGTGGGGGATTACTATTTTAAGTGACAGAGGCTCTATAATGTACATACAAATTAAGGACATTGTCACCATAACTGCTTAAAGAAACGTGTTTACCAAAATTAAAACACAACATTTTATAGTTTGCCAATATATTTGTAAAAAAAAAAAAAAATCTGTGTGTCCCAGTACAGTGATCATATCGCTCTTCACATCACATGGATTTGTATTCCAACTAATGTGTCACTAGCAGAACCGTTTTTTCAGTTTTGTATGGCATAGGGAAGGGTAAAAACCCACCAGGTTTTGTTGTCACAAGAGTATGGTGAGGAGAATCTTTCAATGTGAACACCTGTTTCGGTGACCATTGTCTAAGAGGTGAATGCTCCTCACTTTGTAGAGATTTGTTCTCACGTCCTGTTGCATCTCCAGAACAGGAAGTGAAAGGAAATCTTTAGGGTACAGAGACAGCAAAAAAGTTTTTTTTTTACCTCTAGATTGGCAGAGCCAGAGCTCTCAGTCACGCAGCTAGGTGGATCCAGACATAATTGTCGGGATCCGCTTCAGCGTCTCAGTATACCGCGAGCAGCAGCTCGCGGTATACTGCGGCGTCTCAATATGCCGCGAGCTACAGCCGGCAGTATACTGAGCCTAGGGTGACGGGAGGACGCTAGTTTGTGTCCTCCCATTACCCTAAGGAAAACTATGGAGAAAAGCCTTAATCCCATAGCTCTCCTTTAAGGTTTCTGAAAATCCTGAACTGGTAGCACAGATCAATAAAATCTTCCAGTGCAGGGATGCCAATAAATATCCAAGAAGATTTACTAATTTGCAGTGATGTAGGTAGATGGTGAGTAAACAACAGTTACAAAATACAAATAGGTACTGCCCATGCATAGAAGGAAAAAACAGTGCAAGAAATAAGACTATGCAAGACAAATAGTTTATACCAAACAAACATACTTTGGACACAAGTCCAACACCTCTTGTATGGAAGCTTCCAAGCCCATAGCGCATATTCGCCTTATACATTGCTGCACCTAGGGAAAAAAGAGAAATAGTCTTAGAATGAATCTGCCTTAAGCTGCATGTGCTATATTCATTTGTTACGGACAACCGCCATCAACAAACACACTATATATAATATACACACACAAATATTGAA